CAACTATCATTGTGGCAAAAGTTAGCCACTGGACAACAAAGTATCCTCGAATCAACAGGACAAAATGGACAGACAGAACACAAAACAAAGGAATACTGATTCTTGCCAAAACAAGTGTGGCTATGGCTTTATCAAAAGGCATCTTCTGAGGCCAGGACAATATGGCACCATCCCTGAAGTGGCCTTCACAATCCGGAAAAGGTACAGTGCCCTTTTCTTCTAAGGCAGCTGAACAGGCAGTGGGCTGATGGTTTCTGATGTGCAATGGAACAGCAGCTGAAACAGTTATTCTTGAAGGGTAACTAAGCTCATGCCTGTCAATAGTAGACTGGCATTTAATAGAGGGATGTGGAGAAGAATGGGATGCTGAGATGAAGCCATATATACACAGCCAAGAAGAATGGACAGCTGAATTCAAAAACCATCAACAATTTCCAGAATTTAAAATCCTGAATCATGACATGACACTAGTGGAATTCACGTGTTTCTGGTACATGGACTGCTCTCACCCAATGTGAGGTTGAACTGTTGACCTTGTGTACATCCCACTTCACAAATGAGTCTGCCAGATACGCTAAGCGTATAGGATGAAGATGATGCCCCAACACTGCAGAGAAACCTTAGGTGACTGTCCAGGCAGCTGGCTGTTTCTGTCAACTCACAAATTTTTTGGAAATTGCACACATGCACTTCCTGTTTTTATTTTTGTTAGGTAATATTATTTCCTTCTTGGGTCTGTGAAGGAGTTGAAGATTAGTTAGTTATAGTTAAAGATTAATTAGGATAGAAAGTGAATTAGATACATTTTGGACTTACCAAAATAGGATAGATAATGGAATTATTTTTTCTGATTTGTCAAATACAAATGGACTAGACATTATTTAGGTATTTATTACTTGTATATATTGTATATAGTTATTGTACTTTTGTATATAGTTTTCTTTTGTTAGTTAGTTATAACCTTTTGCTTTTTTTCTTTTTATTAAAATAGAAAAGGGGAAATATGGTGATATTTTATTTGTACTGAAATGTGATTTTAATTGTATGTTAATAAATAAAGTTGCCCGGGGGTCAGAGCTATTAGCAAGCCATGGGAAAGCAGGGCTGTGGTGGCATATGCTTATAATCCCAGCACTTGGTAGGCAGAGCTAGGGAAGTCTCTGTGTGTTCAGGGATACAGCCAGCATTGGACACACATGCCTTTAAGACCTGGAGGGCTGTACTTACAGGCAGTGACGAGGCAGTCACGTGTTTGGGTTTACAACCAATGAGAAGGCAGAACAGAAAAACTATATAAAGTCAAACACACAGGAAGTAGGTCTCTTTCGAAGAGGTAGGACCACCACAGGAGGAAGGGTAAGGTTTTAGCTCTGACCTCTGACCTCTTGGCTTTCTTCTTTACATTGGTTCTGTGTTTCTTATTTAATAAGACAGTTGGTTACATCTACAACTGGGAACACAAGTAGATGGGTATTAGGGTAGGGCATGGGTCTTTTAGATTGCAGGGCCTGATGGGGGGTTTAGGTGGGGGTGGGCTGGCCTCAGGGAATTTTCCCTGCTGGCCAGTAACTGGGGGAAGAGTTGGGTGGGGGTTCCCAGGGACTGGCTGTGTCCCACGGCCTGGGTCCCAGAGGCAGGACTCTCTGGGAGGGAGAAGAGTCACTCACCTCTTTGTCCATTGGAAGCTGGCAGATTCCTTGTCTCAGAAAGTTACTGGGGTCTCAGGCAGATGGGTATTGGGGTAAGGCTTGGGTCTTGTAGATTGCAGGGTTCAATGGAGGGGTTTTGTTGGGGGAGCCTGGCCAGGGGGGAGTTTTCCCTGCTGGTCAGAAACTGCAGCAAAGTTGTGAGGGGTTTCCCAGGGACTGGCTGTGTCCCAGGGCCTCTTTTTCTTTTTCTTTTTTTTTTTTTCAAAACAGGGTTTCTTTGTATGCCCTGGCTGTTCTGGAACTCTCTCCATAGGCCAGGCACTTCTCCTTTCCACATGTCACACAGGGTCACACTTTTGGGGCTGGGCTCCTATACCTGTGATAACAGTGTTTCTTTGGGTTTTCAAGACAAGGTTTCTTTTTGCTGGAACTAGCTCTATACACCACGCAAACCTTGAACTCACACAGATCTACCTACCTCTGCCTCTTGAGTGCTGGGATCAAAGATGTGTGCCACCACTGCCTGACTCTTCTATTTTATATTATTTAAAAACTTAAATTTGGGTAAGGATGACCTTACTGCTGCAGAAGGTTTTGGAATCCCTCTGAAAAAATTCAGGGTCATGTTCTTTGGAGAGATGTTATGCCAGGTCATTGGAACAGTCCAGATACAGTAATTCTTTGGAGCCAAGGCTGTGTTTGTGTTTTTCCTCAAGGTGCTGCCCAATGACTCTTTGCTAAGAACATTTGCAAGTAGAGATATATGAAGAAAGGGACAAAAGGGTACACAGTGTGACTTGTTGGGTCCCACTGCAGCCTCCTGACAGGGTCTATGCTGAGGGTGCTGTTGTTGTGGTACAGCTTCATCCTGTCTGTGAGCTTAAGTAGCTGGCCATCAAAGAACCAACTGATGGCAGGTCAGGAACACAGAGTTCAGTTCTTTGACTGTGGTGTTGGTGACTTGGATGAAGGACAGAGTCACTGGCTCTGTGGATCAACATTGGAGGGGACCAGCTGAGAGTCCTTCACCCTCAGAGATCTTAGCCAGCTCCTAGGGCTCATAGAATAAAATGACCCTCTGCAAAATCACATGTTTGGGTTCAAGATAGGGTGTGTAAGGAGTGAGCTGAATCTTCCTTGTACAGAGATCTCCCACAGTGAATCCTGACTCAGGATATTAGTGTAGATTTCACATGGGCTCCTCTTCAGCCCATGTGTCCAGAAATCTCTTGGTATGTGGGGGGTGTATTTCCCATTGATTTTTGTGCAAATTCTTGCTCACACTTTCTGTGAGTTAGAACAGTCAGGTCCCTCCATCTTAAAATAGCTTTCTGTGTCTTTTTAATTAAATAATTTGTGGGCCATTCTGGTCAGGTGTTTGATGTTGATTGACATGAACCAGGGGGCCCTATAAGAATCCTGAGTCCATGAAATGATCTAGAGGAGTGAAGGTCACCTAGTAGGTCTCCATGGTGGGGAGGCTGGAGATGTGGCTGTGGACAGATAGCTTGTTCAACCCACAGACAGTATGACCCTGACTCAGTGACTGTGTGTTCCTTGTCTCAGTTTCCTTATAATAGGACACATGGTAAATGATCATCACCATGCCTGCAAGTTAACCTTAAATGTGAACAATAACCTGACTTTCCACCAAGTGGTGTCTGTTAGTATTTGCCTGCAAGAAATAGTCCCTGGTCCAGACCCCTGGAGGGCAAAGTGCTGCCATTCATAAACTTTTTCTTCTATCTCTTTAGGACTCTTGACCTTCCTGGGTGGTCTCAGAAGACCATCAGAACAGCTGGCTGGTTGCCTTTCATATCTCTCCACCTAGGCTGAGCACACTGAGTCTCAGAAGGAGATGCCCAGGCGACCTACTTCAGACATGGCTCTCAGAGGCTGTCAGTAGGCTCCCAGTCTGCAATCCATCATTGTCCTCTGTCATCTCCAACAGGAAGTCAAATTCCAACCCAGTCTAAAGCTTCCCAGGATTTCTGGTCCAGTCTGGCATGGACTTCTTTAGCAAAGCTATTGAAGGCCATCTCTCTGTTAGACCTCATAATTTCCATAGCCAGGCCGTGTCTGATTCCTGAAGGGTCCTTATGAAGGCCATGTTCATGGTGAGCACATAAGATTCTGGGCAGAGTCTGACATGCCTGGGCTAAGTTACCTCATCCCCTCTTCCCTGAGGGTGGATTCAAGTGAGGCATCCTGATTTATTGCTGTTTTTTCTCACACATTAATATGTGCCTTTTACTGAATGCTTGAACCACAATGTGGAGACCATAACACAGAGTCATCCAGGACTGACAACCCTATGTGTGAAGTAGGAGTAGTTCCACCCATGATCCAGAGTGCTGGAGTCCAGGTCCAGTGAGGTCCTGTGCAGCAAGATGAATGTGTGAAGTTGCTGAAGAACAATGAATCTGACCACTGGTTGCCCTCAGTCTGATGGTCGGGACTAGCTCAGGCTGTTTTTAGTTATACAAGTTCTAATGCATTCAAGCATGAGCAGTTTCAAATCATTTCTCTTTATTCCTTTCCCAAGGATCATTAACATTTATTCATTTTTGTTTCTCTTCTTCATCTCACTCCCTTGATGTCATTGACCTTTACCCCATATCATTATAGTGCTAGCCAAATGATTATATCTAGCCAGGCACATCTTCTTCATACTGTGCCAGAGCCAGCAGCAAACGTGGTTACAAAGTAAGAGATTTAAACCCCGTGATTAGTTCTTTTTTTTTTGTGATATATATTTTTTATTTTACAATACCATTCAGTTCTACATATCAGCCATGGGTT